ATTTAGGTGGCCCGGAACTTTTGGTGGGCACTGTATATTTAATCTATTATAAATAAATGTAAAAATAGTAAAATAAATGAAAATTACGAGAAAATCGTAAAAGAGACGAGAGAGTTGTAAGAAAAATGAATGTGATGTAAAAGAGACGAAAACCATGAGAATGACGAGAAGTTCGTAAAAGAAACGAGAGCGTGGGTAAACAAACCAGACAGACATGAGAGAGACAAGAAAGCTATGAGAGGGACGAAAAAGCTAGGAGAGAGACGAGAAAGTCGTGAAAGGAACGAGAAAGCCATAAGAGAGACGAAAGTCATGAAAGAGACGAGAAAGCCGTGAAAAAGGCGAGTGTGCGGACAAAGAGACGAGAGAACTTTTAAAGAAACGAGAGAGCAGAGAAGCAAACGAGAAAGTCGTGAAAAAGGCGAGAAAGCCGTGAGAGGCAAAAAAACGTGACAGAGATGAAAAAGCCGTGGGAGAGACAAGAGAATCGTGAGAGAGCCGAGAGAACCGTGAGAGAGACGAAAAAGCCGTAAGATGGAGGGAGACAAGAAAGTGGGGAGACAGACGAGAAATTCGTGAAAGAAATGAGAGAACCGTGATTTTGTATAGTTGAATGGTCAGTAACTCTGATTAGCGTCCTCTAACGGTACGGTGAACAGTTGGACAAATTGAAATTTTGCGAAGAAGATGACGACGACGACGGATTTGAATGACATAAATCCGGCAGAAAAGTACATGCATAATTTCGTTAACGTTCGCGTATCCAAAGCACTGGGGATATCATTTTTATATCATTGTAATTGAAAAAATCTATATTTTCTTTGAAATTTGCTCGGAATTAATTAATAAAGAACGGAAAAGACGGCCAAAAATTCGCAAGAAAAAGGATGTTAAAAACCTTTTAATTACAAATTCGTAAGCACAGCGGTACGTTACGACCTTACTTGGTCTTTTTCAATTGCAAAAATTACATAGAAAAATACGCAAGATTACATAAAAAATTAAATATACATGTAAATGAAATAAATAAAATTAAACGCTGGATAGAGTCGTACAAAAGACATTCTTAAATCGACGTAAGTGCGTTATTCAAATATAAAGTGATGGAATGAGAGAGATCGCTCTAGGTTCGAGACTAAAACTGCAAATTTGTTCTTCGTTGGAAAGCGAGAAGGAATGGAGTCAAAACGTTACAAAACAAGAAAGTCCGTAAACTGGAAAATTAAAAGGATGTTCCGAGGTAATAAAAAAGACATTGAAATTGATAAAAACTTCCGGAGCAATATGAAACTTAAAAAAAGAGAGATATTCATCCAAAAACGGTGCACAATAACGTTAGACAGAGTATAATGTTGCTTGCTCAGTATAACATACACGGCTGAGCTGACGACGCCGCATGGATAGACATATGATTATGGTATGTCATTGTGTTGAAATTGATTAGTAGATAGACAGGTCCGGGATAGAGAAGGTCAAAACTCACTTGTTTGTCACGTGTTTGTTTAACAGAAAGTGTATTTATTTTACACGTACAAAAAAGAGAAAGAAGAGCACACGCAGGCCCTATGCTTTCTGTTTCTAGAGAATATATATGGAATGAACAAAAGAAAAAACCAGATTTACAGAATAACGCCTTTTAGTTTTTACTCATCTGATACGCAGTCTTATTTCTTGCACGGCAGTCGGCTGATCAGCTGGACTTTCTCACATGCTCACACGCTCTCATACAACAGGTGTGCACACCGCGGCGGTCGCTCGGAAAAGGGAAGATTCTTTGGTCTGCGTTAGCGCGACTCCGCAACGCCTCACGCTCGTTACCAACCAAACCAGTACGGCCATCAACCGAAACAGAAATTACTGGCTGCTCTAGTTATATTTTAACACATTGTGTAGGTCAAATCGACAAAATATTAAAATTGGTTATTTCTCGCGAGAACGTCAAGCAGATAAAATTAAGATTCGTCGAAAAGGTCTATATCATTCTGAGAATTTATTCCATTACTTTGTTCTTTTATGTGTATCATTTCTGATACCGTTCTTTCGTAAAATTTATATTCTGTGTCGAGGATTTTAATGTTATCCCAGTCAAAAGAGTGGTTGAAAGTCTTAAAATGTTCTATGATAACGGAATGTCTCGACGGATCTCCTTTTATGTTATTCTTAATCCTGGTTTTAAGCAACCTTTTGGTCTGACCAACATACGAGGCATCGCATTCGTTACAGTTGATTTTGTAAACTAAATTGCTCCTTGAAAAAAATTCAGATTTATCTTTGTGTTGATGATGAAGTTGAGACTGTTAAGGCATCGGAAACCCACTGTATGTATTGTGTGTCTAATAAGGGAAGCAATTCGCTTGGAAGAGCGGCTAGCCCACTCGGATTTAACTTTTTTTTTATGGGTCCCCCCGCTCCTCGGGGAAGGTGCAGGGGGTATGTCGGACTTTTATCGACTAAAACTCCACGGGTGTCCAGCCTCTGCGCGTTACTAGGGGCTGCCCAGGGAACGCTCATCGCATGACTTCCTGGGCAACCCCCGCGCCTGTCTACGAGGCTCTTCCTTTGAGGATTAGCGCCTTGTCTTGTCCCCACTCCTCTCGGTCCAGATTAGTCCTGGCCTCGCCCGGAGCAGCCTCAGCTCTCGGACGGGAAGGGGGACACCGACCCCCTCCCGCCCCACCCCTGCGGGGGCAGGGACATATCACCCGCATGTCCCGCACCCCCCGCGTCCCACGGTCGGCGCCCTCTCCCTTCCCGCCGTTAAATGGCCGGGGGAGAGAGTGGCCGCCGGCCGCTAGACTCATGCTCGTGCGCCTGAAGCGCCGACGTTTGGGCAAGGGGTTCGGTGGTCCCAGCCGCTGAACGGCTCTCGCATAGGTCCGTCCAACTCTGACGGCATGGCCCCCCCCCCCCCCGACAAGGCAGCAGGGGGGGTGGAGTTGGGAGATTAAGGTCCCACGCAACTCCCCCCCCCCCGCCGCCGTCACGACTGATGGCCGGACGGCAAAGCGGCAGCACCGTGGTCGGGACGTCCGCTCGCCGCAGCCTCGCGATCCGCACGGACTTCAGAGGAGGAGTGAATGCCCCTCCCCCTCTCTCTTTTCCCGCCTTCTTCTTCTGCCATATTACTGCCTCGCAGAAGGCGGAGACGGCCTTCCAGGCCCACTCGCTCCCCACTATTTCTCGTACGAGAGTCGGGAGCGAGAGGTCCCTCCCCACCACTGCAGTCAGGACTCCACGCTCCGTGTCCCATGCAGGACACTCCTCCAGGGTGTGTTACGCGGAGTCCCGACTGGCCGCACAATGGTAGCACCGTTGGGTGCGCTCTTTTTCTATCCTATGCAGGTACTCACCGAAGCACCCATGTCCGGTGAGCACCTGCGTGAGGCGGTAGGTCAAACCCTCCCATTCCCTGTCAGCCCACTCTTTGAGGATGGGCTGGACAGCCTCTATGGTCCGAGTTCCAGCGACGCCCGGCTCGCACAGGCGCTCGCTCCACGCCGCAAACGCGTTATCGCGCGCCTGCCTACGAACCAGGTCGACAGCTCTCCTCGTTAGTTGCCGACCCTTCAGGCAGGCCACCAGAGCCCACCGATATACCTCGGCAAAGGCTCCGGCTATTAGGTCCGCCCCTGGAGTGCCGGCGAGAGCCGTCGTGGGACACTATCCTATACCCCCGGGTCAGTCGTAGGGCCATCCTCCGCTGGACTCCATATAAGAGACGGCGGATCTTTTTGTTGGCCCCAGCCTCGCCCGCCCATATGGGGGCGCCGTACATTAGCCCGGCTCGGATTTAACTTACGATGAGAGACATCCTATCATTTTACCGTGACATCGCGTAAGCGATTTGCTCATTAACCGCGCGCATAAAATTACACTGCACGGCGGCACACAGTTAACACTACGTACACTCCGATAATAATACTGGATAATTTCCGCGAGAACCGCGATTACAAAGGCTACATTCGAAACTTGCATACGCGAGCGGGCGGCTATCCCGTCTCAATTAATGGAACTTATTCGAAGTTCGCGTTACGCCGTCGCCCCCATTTCAACATACGGGTATGGATTATGCCGGCCTTATATCGATCACCCCAATTGCAGGCCGAGAACAGCGAGCACGAAAATATTACGTGATTATAATATTCGTGTGCATGGCTACAAAAGCGGTTCATCTGGAATATACAGACGCAATTGCCGGTTTTCTTGCAGCTTTTGAAAGATTTATCGATCGAAGAGGATTCCCGGCACATCTATACAACAATAACGGTACAACCTTTCAAGGAGCCGATCGCGAATTGCAGACAATGAAGTTGCTACTGCAAAATTCTGAACTCAGAAATTATTTCGCTAACTCAAGTATTTATTGGCATTTTGATCCACCCGCGGCGCCGAATTTTGAAAGATTGTGGGAGTTGGTAGTAAAGGCATTCAAGCATCACTTTCATTGAATAGCGAAAACGCATACGCTCTCGCAAATAGAGCTCAGCACGCTACTTTGCCAAATAGAGGTATGCCTCAATTCTCGCCCGATTGCCGCGTTATCAGACGACCCGCAGGACTACACCGCGCTAATCCCGAGTCATTTTTTGATCGGCCGCTCTCTCGTTTCTGTACCAGATATTTGCTGCCTTAATGCGAATAGGTTATCTCAGTAGCAGCATGTCCAAAAACTACAAGAACAGCTTTAGAAATTATGAGCCGCCGACTAAGTGCACACGCTGCAACAATGAGACAAGCGGTAAAAGGCGAAGGCTCCAATAGAATCAAACGAGCTCGTTCTCATCCGAAATAATAATCTCCCACCAGCAAAGGGAACTTAGCACACGTGGAAGCGATATATCCCGGTTCGGATGGGCTCGTACGAGTGGTGACCGTGCGAACGCCGAAAACTACGTTAAAGCGACCAATATCTCAAATCTGTTGTGTTTACCGATACATGCAGATTCCACCGACACCGAACAATGTAAATAGACTGTAAATAAACTGTAAATACAATGTATGCTTAACCTATATAAAAAAACCATCAAAAGGTAAAAAACAAATGCGACATACTCGTGCTTTACTTGCGGACATGCCGTACGCTTCAGTAATTCGCGCCGATTTCAGAAGCGATACGGATGGAAATGATCGAGATTCTCGCAGGAACAAATAAAATAAAGCGTTTCGTCACACGATTCCACCTCAAATGTTTGCGACATCGCGACAAATACATATCCATATATGGACAGGTCTCATACTCTCGACTCCGGTTGATACAAATCATTGTTAGCGGAATCACCTTTAAGCGTCCGAAAACAATGACGAGTAAGAGAAACCGTTGCGAACCTCCACTTTTATTTAATCTGGAAGATTTCGGCTACCGGCCTGTGCGTTTCTGCAAAACGAGCACTTCGAGATACAAGCGTGCCGAGACTGTATCTAGCGACTTAAATAATAAAGACATGATTCGCGAGTTAATATCGAACGGCTGATTTAATTCCTGTCTATCTCATCCAGCACTTCCTAATTATACTAGGAATAAATTGATGTCTCACGCGTACGTCGAAGGCCCGTAGAATTTCGGGAAACGCGTAAACATGAAAAGGAATAATTTATTTCTATAAAAGTTATCCGTCCAGTAAAGGATACGCTGTAGCGTCTCCTTCAATGTGAATCATCATAAAGCGAAAAAATATACCTGGCAAGAGCTGCTACCGCTCTTGATTATAAATAATAATTATTTATATTTATTTATTACAGGTAAAAGGAGATTTGAGTACTCTTTGTTGGGTACAGAACAGAATACCTCTTGGCTTTAAGTGTGAAGATTTTATTAATGTAGTTTATGTGCCTCTTAATTTTAAAGATATTATATTGGCTACTGGTAGAATTTCCGCCGAATCTATTGGATTTTCTGAACGCGATTATCATTGTCTACTAGGCATAGAATTTGTTGGATTTAACATGCATGGACAAAGAATAATGGGAATGACTTCATACGGGTAAAGTGACAAATATTTTTTTTTCAAAACTCATTAATTAAAAAACCTATTTACAATTATAGTTGTATTAATTTACAATTAACTTTAATTTCATCTCAACTTTATGAGATTAAATTTAATTTCAAATAAAAAACAAAATACAATAAAAAAGATTATATATTGTGTATTATTTATTATTAATATACTCTATACACTCTGCAAACATGATTACTATACAACTTTTATACGGCACACATATACAAATTATATGTTTTAAAAAATCATTATGTTTAGAGGAATGACGAATGTTTGCATAGCCGACAAATATCTCAGTTGGATAATACCTAATAAATGGACGATGGAAGATGCAGCAACGGTTCCCTGTGTGTACAGTACATGTTATTATGCTTTGCATATAGAGGGAAAAATAAAAAAAGGAGATAAAATATTGATCCATTCTGGTACTGGAGGCATTGGTCAAGCTGCGATTCATCTAGCACTTTACGAAGGTTGCAAAGTGTTTACGACAGTTGGAACTATTGAGAAACGGCAGTTCATAAGAGAAATTTTTCCTTCCATTCCTGATGATCATATCGGAAATTCTCGAGATACAAGCTTTGAACAAATGATTATGCAGCGTACAGAAGGTCGTGGAGTGGATATTGTATTAAATTCCTTAGCCGAAGAAAAATTGCAAGCATCTGTTCGATGCCTAGCAAAGGGTGGTCATTTTTTGGAAATTGGAAAATTTGATATGGTTTCTAATAATTCTTTAGATACATGTATTTTTTCTAAAAGTATCAGTTTTCACGGTATCTTATTAGATAAAATAAATTCGGCTAGCCTAGAACGAAAAATAACATTGTGGAAGAGAGTGGCCGAAGGTTTAGAAAATGGTGCTATTAAACCACTATGTAGAAAAGTCTTTAAAAAAAATGAAATAGAAACTGCTTTTAGATATATGGCCACTGGAAAACATATTGGCAAGGTATGATTTTTTAAATATGTTCAAAAGAAATTGTTATGATACTATATATTTTATCATACATTAGAATAATTATATTAAAAACATGCCTTTTTCGTTTAATTAATGTTGTAAAAATAAATAATAAAATCAATAATTTTAAACGATATAATAAAATGTAAAATAATTTTTTCGTTTTTATGATTTTTTGTTTTATTACAGTTATTATATTTTAATTAATTAACAAAATCTGAAAAAATTCAGCGAAGTAAATTAAAAACGTATAGTGAATAAGCAAATAAACCAAGCAAGAAATTAATAGTAATAATAATAATATTCATATCATAAAAATAATAATATACACATAAAATTTAAATTAGTGGATATTTGGATCTTGGTAGGTCATTCTCAGTGTAATATAAAAGTTAAATATTCGATATATTACAAAGATATATCATTCAATTTATAAAACGTAGTAATTGATTGTAGTCGCTTGAAATTTGTGATCAAGTTAACATTACAAAATTAATTTAGGTAATAATGCCAAATAGGGGACTCAGCTTCAATGATCTTGACCATGACATATGTTGTCAAGATTATGACCCTGAGTACTATCAAAAGGTTTTAGCCGTCGTTCGTTATTCGTTAAAAAGTTATTAATAAAAAAAGAAACAAAAAATAATACTAATGGGGGGGGGTTGGAAGGGCGAAGCCCCTCCAGTAGGTAGTATGGGCGCAGGCAGGATGGAGAGGTGCAGGGGTGAGGGGCTCCGCCTTCACATAGCTAATATCTGTTGTAGAAACAGAAAATACGTGCTTTAATGCTCCTACTTGTTTAGTAAGGCAATGATTTAATAAATATTCAATTTAATATACTTTCTACCTTGCGTAGGAATCTGTCTAATCTTTTTGGTATCTTTATTATTTTTAGTATATTGTAGACTCATATCTATTTAGTAAGGCGAAGATTTAATATTAATATAAAGATATATACTTTACAACGCAAAGCGTTCCACATGAGTTTACAACTTTTATGCGAAGTGAGATTTTACATCCCCTAAAGGTCCCCTAAAGTGAATAATTACCGTTAATTTTTATAACTTTTTTGTTAATAACTTTTTAACAAAAGACGAGCGACGGCTAAGACCTTTGATGGTCACTCAGGGTTATGTCAAGGTCAAGGTCATTGGAGTTGGGTCCCCTATTCGGCAGTTTTACCATAATTTAAAAAAAAAAGAATGTGTCCAAAAAGTGTTAAATATAAGTGTGCTCCTTAAACAAAAACTTGTATCAAATTAAAAAATTAAATCTAAGTGGTACGCATCTTTGTATTCTCATCGAAGATTCTTGTTATTCTAATTCCAGTAGCTTTAATTTTTCTTAAAAATATGTATCGCAAAATTGTTAACTTATTCTACTTAAGAGATATGTACATCATTTGTGTAAACGATTTGATATCAATAATTGGCGTAAAGTTATAATTTTATAAAAATTATGTTGCATTACTCAATTCAAATTATATGTATATTACTATAAAAGATTTGATATTGTTACGCCCGGAGGTCATTCTCGTACTACTCGCACTCGCATTTGCGTTCGCGCATTAATACAGCCACGGCAAATGAAAGAGATATCTTATTTAATGAGAAATACTTTCTTTATTGACTCATAACACTACAAGAACTAAATGTATACGAACGTAAACAGAGAGCGGAACGGAAAACATCCGTGCGGATTGATGGCTTGTCTCAAAATTTAATGGTATCCATTAAACAGCGAACAGTTTGTCTGGTAGAAGCGCTTCGCAGCTTTTGCCGACCAAAGCTCGCTTTTGGTTTAAAATTGAACGGCGTAGGCATAACTATTTTCCCTTTTCGAGATTGTGCCGACACAAAGTTTTAGTATCCCTCCCGACGGACTTCAGAATCTTTGGATAGCTTCTTGCTCTATCCTGTGCTTATGCTCCAGGTTACCGAGCTCCACTCCTCCTAGACTCAATCTGCTTCTTCGGAAACCGATGGATCTTCTTTAGATCTTCTCCGTTAAAATCAGTAATGAGGACCCCTTCGGCATTTTCTAGAAAGATGGTTAGTCTTCTAAGGCGTCGAATTTTGAGCATCCCACCAACTTTTTATTTTCTAAAAAGATAAAGATTCTCTTAATTTTCGGAGTTCAAACAAAGAAGAAGAGAATTACTATTATAGATCCATCTTGCTTTAAATACTCTTCAAGTCCCTGCCTCAATACTTGCCCTAGATTCATAGAAAAACCACAGTTTAAAAACTATGAGTGAGATAGTTAATTTAAAAAGATCTAAATCATGGGAGAATGGAAACTGTAGACAGTTATTTGTTCTTAATATTTATAAATTGTGTAATTCATTTAGCGAAACGAACGTTTTGATTCTGATCGAGTTATCTTCAGCGCAATAACAATATATAATATCATCTGGATTATAACGTAATCTATTGTTTGTATAAAATTTTTTGTCTTACGATATGCATGGTCTGTCCCAAAAGTAATGAGATTATTTTTGGCGGCTCAATCAGAATTGTCGGAGGGTGGATCCATTGGACGGACTTTTGGTGTGAAATGTCAGGTATACAGCACAGTATAAGAAATACCAGTAGCGGCACTCTCGTCGGTCCTTTTGATGTTGGTGTCCGAAATCACGTGACGTGTAGCCATGTTCTTGATAGTAGTAGCGCGCAAATATTTAAATTGTATGAAAGAGGATCGCAACACTAACGAAATATTTTAATATTATATATGTAATCTCATTCATATTTTATTAAATAAATATCTCAAATTTGCAAATTTAACATTAAAATAATAAAAATAGTCATACAAGAATGAGTGAAAAAGAATTAGTAACTAACAATCTTAAATGCATTATATTTATAATAAAAAAAAAATTTACATTTTTAAATTTTTGTTTTATTTATTAAGAAATTTATGTACAATTTTAATTAATTAATACAATTAAGATATGTATAATGTTAATATATAATTTCTTAATCAATAATTCAAATTTTTTATGATCCTACTACTAAA